TCCTTTTGTATATAATACCTCCGGAGCAATATAAGGAAGTACACCAAAAATATCCGTAGAACTTGAATCTTGAGACAATGGCCTACATAGCCAAAATCAGTAATGTAAGAGATATAGGTACTTGCATTAACTATATTTCCTGAATGAAAATCTTTGTGCACTAAATTGGCTTCGTGAATTGCAGAAAGCCCATTAGCTATGCAGCATAAGTTAAATATTTTATGTAACCAACTTAAATCCTTATATCTAATATCTAATAATTTTCGAAGACTTCCTTGTTTTGCATACTGCATAACCATCATATAATTACCATCATCTGGGTTTTTAGTTATTCCATAAATTGCAATTGCTAAATCACCTCCATGTTTATGTTGATTTTCAACCTAAAATATTAATTATAATAAACAAAGCTATATTAATTAAATATTTTTAGATATATTGATAATTCTTACTTCATTTAGAAATTCCCTTTTAATATTTTCTTTAGAACCATTTAGACTTTTTAAGCAAACACTTTGCGGAGTTCTCTTCCATTGATTATTTTCATTATCCCAAGATTGAATATATCCGTCAGTCCATATTGCCTTAAAAACAGTGCCAAAGCATCCTTTAGCAAGATACTTTATATTTGCAAATTTATCAAAAGGTATCCATTCGATAACATCTTTAAGAATCTTTGCTTTAAGTTGTATTTGTTGAATAAAGCTATCAATATCTGGATTGCCACTTGTCCATTTCCCGAACTCCTTTTTAAACCTTAAATATCGCAAGAAATAATATACTATTTAATATTGGTGATGTTGAAATTTACAGTATAAAAGATTTGGGGACGTCCATGATTTACGTTAAAGGGATCTTAAAGATAATACAAAAATAATACTATATGAAACTATCTTCAAAGACTCTATTTTTATACAATACTGTATTGGTTTAACGTAAATTATGGGAGTTCCCTTTTCTACTTACACACTGTCGTAATATAGAGTACATATTGTATTGTATGTGGATTGGTTAACGATATGTTACTTTTGTTGGAATATAATCGACATTTCTGATTTAAAATTTTTTTATTCCGTATTACTTACTCACTGTCGTAATATAGGGTATTGTATTGTATGTGGATTGGTTAATTTATGATGATATGTTATTTATGTTGGAATATAATCGACATTTCTGATTTAAAATTTTTTTTATTCCGTATTACTTACTCTCTGTCGTAATATAGAGTACTGATATGTTATTTGTGTTGAATATAATCGACATTTCTGATTTAAAAATTTTCAGGCTTCACTTACATGCTGGTGTGAGTATATAAATTATGTAAGTATAAGTCTTTCTAATATGCCAATTTTTATGAATGCATTATACTTACAATCTTTTAACTAATTTGTGAGCTTCTTTTGCCCATGTATCATTTGGTTTAATTTTTAGCAAGTTTTTCAAGTCGGCAAACGATTCTCTATACCTTTCCATCAGATAATTAATTTCCCCTCGATATCTTAGTGCTATTTCTAAAACAGAGGTGTCAATATTTTTCAATTTCTTTAAGCTAATAATTTCCTCTTCTTCTTTCTCCTCCTCCTCTTCCTCGTCCTCTTCTTCCCCGTCCTTTTCTCCTCCTTCCACTTCTTTTGCTCCTTCTTTTAGAAATTCAATTAATCCAGTTAAATCTTCATATGCTTCATTGTATCTGCCTATAATTAAGTTGGCTTTTCCTCGAGGTGTTAGTGCAAATGATCATTTGATTTATTTTTTAATTCGTCTACATATTGATCAAAGGCTTTAGAATTGATCCAGTATGCTTCCCATAATTCTTTACCAATATCATCATTAGTTATTGCTATCCATAAAGAGATATTATTGTTATTGTACATTTTTAAATATGCATCAAAATTTAATGTTAAATAAAATTTACTTGAATATTTAAACTTTTTATGTCCAAAATTCGCCTCGACAAACGCGTCTTGTGATCTTAATCCAATGCAAGGATACAAATTATTTTTTAAATCATCTAAATCATTAGGTAGATAATATGCAATTCCTTGAAATATAATTAAATGTCAGATCCCTATTAATTAAAATGATTAAGAATATATAATTTGAATTTACCTAGATTTATACCATTTTTAGCATAAAATATCATCTTATCGTCATTTCTAAAATTTAAATAACATCCAATTGTGTCACCAGCAGTATATGTTGGTCCATAGGGCCTGCCCTCATGATTTATTTTCATTATTTTCTTTATCAACGACATATTTTTGTCATAAGAGATATTATGACATAGCATTAATATGTAATAATAAAAAATAAATAAATTAAATAGTCTGTTATTACCAGGCATGAAATCGCTTATATTACTTTGTTTTGTACAGTATCTTATTCCAATCATTCTATTAATAAATAGAATTAAAGTGATTATGAAAATTTATAATACTAATGATTCAATACATGAAATAATTATTTAATATTACCCATTTTTTCCTTCATTTAAAATTTCAATTTCAAAATAAAATAATCCACATAGTGATGGAATTGGATTATTGGTTCGAATTACAACAGCTTTATAATCGTTAGGATCTTTAAAAAAAGTTTATTTAACTAACAATATAATATATTTCTTTTATTAAATTTATTGCACATCTTTTACCCGTATAATTCAACTTAAGTCCACTTGAATCTATGCTAATAAACTGTGACTTATCATCAATGTTCCACGCAGTTGGTAAAACAAGATCATTGAACAAAGTAGTCTCTCCCATAACATCAAATTTCTATTCAGGTCTTTTATCTAGACAAACGATTTATTTTAGGCGAATTACTGTGTGCAAAATATAATTCTTGTTTATGTAACAGTACGTATACTTCATACATGTTACGCAATATCAGCCCATTTTTAGAGTTGGCATGAACGCATGCTGTGATCGTTACATATAAAATTTTTTTTGCCAACTTATTTCTGTATTTATAAAATTATTTTACATTCGTACGTATCAATTATTATCATTATATTCAATTACTAAATTTTCTCTCTTGGCGTTTATTTATCATAACTATGGATCGAAATTTCTGCAGAAAGTCTTAACTCTTTATTTTCTCATAATTCCTATAGGGCGGTACGATAAATATTATAGTTAAATAAATTTATCAGGTTTAAGAGAATGTAAAAAAAAAAAAATTTGTCGAATTTTTGACAAATCGAGTAAAAGTTGCGGAACATGCCATTGATGATCTTAAAAATGAATGTTAAAAATGGATTATTATTATTACGTCACATATAAAATTGGTCCGGGTTCAAAAATTTTTATGATCCGTTGCGTAATTTAAATGTACAGTATAACATTGTGATTACTAAAATTCAAAAAACTCTTCAAAACAATGTCTCATGTTCGTGGAAGACCCCGTTAAAAGAAATCATTTAAACTTTACAAAAGTTTCTGAACCTAATAAGCATGGTCGAACAACACTTCGCCAAAAATGTAATTATTACGAAGAGAATATTAATTTAGTTGAACGATTAAAAGGTCATTTATTAAAAGCTTAAAAACAGGATTCTGGATCTTTAAACAATTCATTCGCAAAAACTTATTCAATGAGGTTTAAATAATGGCAATATTGTAAACCTTGGAATTTCAATTTTCAATACCAACAAATGTAAAACTAATTTAGAATGAAAGGTCGTATTGGCCAATAAGCAAATATATTAATTTTTTTTACGGTATCTTTTTCATATAATATCATAATTTCGCACCCGTCTTTTTTTTAAAAAAAATTTCTCAGCGGAAAATTAAATTAACCATCGGAGTTTCAGCAAAATTTTAACATCAGATGTTAAAGTTTTAAAAAAAGGTTTAAACCGATAATAAAGGGTTAAAAAACAGTTTAACCAGTTTTTTTACCATCCCTATCATTGAAGAAATATAGAAAGTGATAAAGAAAAGGATATTATGTCGTATTTAAACGTTTTAAACGTGTTAAACGTGTAACAAATGCCAAGAATTTACTAAGAAAGTATCAAATATTAAAATATATTACTGCAAAAGAAGTTAAAAGTAAATCTGCAAAAGAATATGGAAGATCTATATTTTGTTAATAAAGATGAAGAGTCACGAAAAGTCGATGAATTCCTAAAGAGATTAATTAACTGTTAAAGAATTATTTAGAAATGTTAATTTATATTATATTGTCAATTTATTATTTCTATTTATTAATATATACTGTATATTCCTTTATTTTGACATACAAGGAAGTTGGTGCTGGGGGTTCAAAAATTCTAGATCTTATACAATTTTAAACAGTCAAGTGATGACTGTGAAAATGAATTAACTAACCCAAAACAATTTTACTCGTGTTATTAAAAAAGTTTTATGGTACTATTGAAGTTGAATGGAAAGAAATATCATGAGTAAATGCTATTAATACTACTATATTATTAAATTTAAATTCTCTAATTTTTTTTTTTTTTTAGATGCGTTAACATACGTAAATATATATTTTTGGTCACATCAACCAAGCTGATACGTAATCTCAAAAGCAATTTCGAAATAGATGCTTTAAAGGTTTTTAACGTAAGAGAAAAAAAATATGAGTCATTTAGAAATATAAAATAATAATAATTGTTGTTATAGCGAAGAATATCATTTATATTTTAAGATACAAGTGTTAGCTTAGAAGCGAAAACTATCTTTTCTTATAAAACATACAGATAGTCCTATTAATCCCTAAATTGGAAAAATTTCTGAGAGCATAGATTAACGTTAGTGGTTAGATTATCTACATTCATGTGACCAGATTATTTTTAAGTGTTGATTGATCTACCTAAAACTAATGCTTCGCGATGGTCAAAGAATTAGAACTTTCGACGAATGAAAGAGAATTGATTATATCGGGATTAAAGGAGGGTATCCGTCTTGATGGACGTGGTATAGATGATTTTAGATCATTAAAGATTACTCTTGGACCAGAATATGGACGCTCAGAAGTTAAGCTTGGTGCTACAAAGTAATAACTTTTCTTTTTTTAATTTAAAATCTTTACATTATATTTGACTTCTTTTTCCTTTTAGAGTATTGGCTAAAGTTTCATGTGAAGTTGCCCGACCGTACCCTGAACGTCCGAACGAAGGAATTCTAACTTTGAATACAGAACTGTCACCAATGGCGTTCACAGGTCTTGAGCCAGGAAGGTGACTTATCTTTTACATAATATTTCTGTATTTCTGTTCAAATTTATATTAAATTGATATTAATTTTCATCAAATCTCAAAAAATGAAAGACCTTCGGAGGAAGAAGTTCTTGTGAGTAGAATTCTTGAAAAAGCCATAAAAATAAACCGCGCAGTTGATGTTGAAGGATTATGCATCGTTGCTAATGAATTAGTAAGTCTGAATAAGTAAACTCATGATCAAAATTTTCAAGTCGTTCATTTATGTTTTATTTATTTATTAGGCGTGGTCGATTCATGTTGATGTACATTTTCTTGATAATGATGGAAATATCATTGACGCCGCATGTATCGCTGCAATCTCAGCGCTCTCTCATTTTCGGAGGCCTGATGTCACAGTTATTGGAGAAGATGTCACAATAGTATTTTTCATTATTTCAAATTCGAAAGTTCTTTATTATTTAATATTCAATTCCCTAATTTAATCTAATTTAACACGTTATTTTATGTTTCTTTATATAGCATCCAGTTGATCAAAGGAATCCAGTTCCTTTGAGTATCCATCATACGCCAATCTGTGTTACTTTTGCATTTTTTGAAAATGGGTACTGCAAGATTTCCTTTTATCAGTATTCCTTATATTCATTCATTAATTTCGTTTCAACCCAGAGACTTATGGGTAGTTGACCCCTCCTTGAAAGAAGAGCAAATTCGTCGAGGTGACATGATAATGGCAATAAATAATCATAAAGAAATTTGTGTCTTATCAAAGGCTGGTGGAATACCTCTTGAAATGCATACTATCATACAATGTTCCAAGCTCGCAGCTAGTAAAGTAGATTGGGTTAGAGAAAGAATTCATGCAGCATTAGTCAATGCTGCTGAAATGGAAAAACGGTGATATTGATTTTTTTTATTACTACTTTTGTTATACTCTACTAAATTTTGATAATTTCACATTTTAACATTTCTTTATAACATGGTATGCTTTAACAGAAAAAATTTAAGAGAAATAATAATTGATGATTGAAAAATCAAGTAGAAATTTCAGGTATGTTAAAATTTATAACATTATTCAATACATATACTATTAAGATATTAGATTTATATACGAGGTACATTCAAAATGCTAAAGTATAAAATGGTTCGTGACATGTTACATATTGAAAATCGTGAGAAATATTCAATTTTAACCTTTGATATCAATTCTGACTTATTGTCAGCTCGTATTATTCGAAAATTAAACTGCATGAAAAAAACTTTGTAAATCTACTATTGCACTTGGCAGTGTTGTCAAACTTTTCATCCATTAAGATTTTCTGTTCTAGTAGAGTATTATATAATATTGTATAATTAATAAGTTATATTTTATTCGTCAAATCGGTTTATTGTTTAAATTACTGTGTGGACAATATGCGATAACTGTTAATTTATTTCGGACAATATGAGTTTTGCAATAAGATCAATTTTAGCATTGCTTCTAAACGTAAATGAAAAAATGGAAAAGAAATAAAGCATGTAAATAAATGAAATGATATTTCCAAGAAATGGGGGTAATAGAGAGAAAATTGTCTCAACCATGTAACAACAATATAAGCAATGAAAATTTCTATTTTCGTTTTTTATCAGAAACGAACTTTTATTTTTTTTTTAATTAAATCGTCAGTGTTATAAAAAAGTCAACTCCATAAAGGTTAACAAGTGATTAATGCAAATGGGACCTTTGGCTAAAAGATCGACACATTAATACGAAATCTCGAAAAAAATATTGTCGTGTTGCGTGATCAGGGTAGTGTTTCGGGCGAAACCCGAATTTGCAGATCATTTGCAGATCAAATTGGGCGAAACTAATTTCGGAGGGTTTCGGACTTATAGGGCGAAATTAAAATTCTTCTGGGCGAAATATTTCGGATTTGGAAAATAATTTCGCCCGAAACACTAGATCAGGGACGGTGATTTTCTGTGATTCACCGAATTTCTCTTAAACACAGCAAACTACAGAAATCATTCTTACGGTAGTTACCACAGAGTACCACAAAATTCTAAAAAAGTCAGAATTCTAAAAAACATAGCAGATAACGCAGAATATTACAAAATTCTAAAATATTACTGTATTGCGGCACATGACCACAAATTCGCGTCGACGCTGGAAATTCTGGAAAAGGTAGACAATAAATCAACATAAATTACGAGTATTTTGTTTAAAAAAAATTAGATAAACGCGTCAAAACACAGAAATTAAAGAATAACATCACATAACTGCACAGAATTTATAAAATAGCACAGAATTGCACAGAAATTGGTCTTAACTACATACGGAATTTAGTCTTAATCACAGAAAATCACCGTGCGTGATGCATATTTAGCCAATCAGAATTCTTATCAATCAACAGACACAAAATACATACTCATCAAAACAAAATAAATACCATCAGATAATCCTTAGTATTTGATAACAAAAAAAAATTTACACAAGTAGTTCATAATATACAATATCTTACGGCGCTTAGGACTTCACATTAACATATGTACTGTACCTCTAACGCTCTGCTTGTAATGTAAGTATGGTCCGAACTAATTTGACATCATAGCTTATTAGTGAAATTTGACCTTTATGTATAAGATATTGGGCGTACGATGAAAAATAACAAGGAATTTTTTTTCATCGGAATTAATGTCACTCCCACGTGCTGCGTAGCAGCACATGAGTGACATTAACTCCGATGAGAAAAATTTCTTATTATTTTCGTATGTCCAATATTGATGTTATTGTTCATATTATATTAGCATGTGAAATTTTTTGTCGCGACATTTTGCATAAATGATGATGTCATTTTATGACAATAATATCGAGGCAAAAAATTTTTACATGATCATATCACAGGAACAATAACTATATTATATAGGCCTAAAAAATCAAGCAAAACGTCAAGTGACCACAAAAACAGGGAGTCTAGCTCAGAAGATAAAGAAAATAGGTCAAAGAACAACACATCAGCTATCATTATTGTTAATTGGACCATGTAAAAAATTCGGATAAGCTGAATTTGACCCTTCTAACGATGCGAGGACCATTAAAACGAAAGAGAAAGGATGAAGATAATACCTCAAATGTAATTTTATTTTAAAAAAATTCTTATACGAAAAATATCAGGGAGAGTTGATATAATAGAATAACTATAAAATATAATTAAAAATGTTTTTATTATTTATTAATAGAAAAAAAAAAAAGTCGAAAGAACCGGACTTCTCAATCGTTTCAAAGGCCAAATTATTCCAAGAAAAATTAGAATATTGTGTTGGCAAAGTGTCAAATTCTCCATGGAAGGAGAATGATAAATAACGGTATATTTTTAAACTCAGATATTAATATTTAAATTTCGCGGATAATTTAAAAAAACTATGATATATACTTTATAGGTCTAAAAAAATTAATAAGAATGCTTAAATATATACATGATCGTATCATAAAAGCATTCTTTGAGAATACCCATTTTTCGATGTTGATTCAGAGAAATGGAGTCCAATTACTCATAATAAACATAATTGATTTTATCGGCTACGTCAAAGAGGTCGGAAGCGATCGTTGATCTCGTGATCTGGACTTTTTTCTGCCAGGACTAACCTATCTAGGTTTTTTTTTCATCATATTATACATAAAGTTTTATTGAAAGTTATTATGATAGTTTTAATGCTGCACCGTTTTAAAATCAACTTTTGTTAGCGTTAAATATTCTAATAAAAAAATCACGAGAATTACTTTAACCGAAAATTTTAAAATCGTAATTGTGTAAAAGAGTTTCTTATCATATTATAAGTAAAATTTTATTGTGAATTTTGTAATAGTTTTAATGCAGAATCTTTGAAGATTCGGTGCAAAAATATCAGATAATACGTAAAAATTTGTACTAATAATTTTTATTATAATACCTTATATAGACTTAATTATTTAGTATATGTAAAAGTCTGTTCACATGATATCAGATTGACTTGTTTGGCGGCCCTATACTTTAAGCACAGAGGTATTGTTGGCCATGGAAGTCGTTCGTTCAATAGAAGGAATAGGTTCCATGACGAACAATAATAAATAGTCAGAGCACTGATCTTTGGATCATGGAAGCGATATTTTTTCGTATTTACGAATTACCTAAGAATACTCTCGTTAAGCCGATGGTAGTTGCCGAGAAAGTTATTATTAATAAATTTTATGAAATTCGATACAGTTTATAATTTCGTAACTACCGTGAGACTGTTTAAATACCTGGGATTATATACTGTACACAGTAACTGTTTCTAAATAATATAAAAAAATATTTTATAACAAAATAAAAGGATACTTTCATTTTAGAAAGTTACGTTATTTAAATACTGATATATACTATAATATAAAAAATCACCCTTCAAAAATCGTGGATTTATTATAATTAGGAAGTTTGTAAAAAAAAAAAAAAT